ACAATCTGCTCTCCAAGCGAAGGATGTTGGGCCCAGAAACAAGCAAACCGCCTGAGACATCCCCACAAAATGGCCGCGAACGAGCCCGTGCAACACCCCTGGCGGCTCCCCTTAGGGGTGCTGAAACCAGCGCCCCGCCTGAGACATCCTCACAATCTGCTCTCCAAGCGAAGGATGTTGGGCCCAGAAACAAGCAAACCGCCTGAGACATCCCCACAACATGGCCGCGAACGAGCCCGTGCAACCACCCCTGGCGGCTCCCCTTAGGGGTGCTGAAACCAGCGCCCCGCCTGAGACATCCTCACAATCTGCTGTGTGTTGAGTAAGTCCCAGACTATGAGTAAGTCTGAGTATGAGTACGCCTGGGTATGAGTAAATCTGAGTATGGGTAAGTCTGAATATGGATATGCCTGAGTGTGAGTAAGTCTGGGTATGAGTACGTATGGGTATGAGAATGTCTGAGTATGAGTAAGTCTGAGTATGGATATGTCTGAGTGTGAGTAAGTCTGAGTATGAGTACGTCTGGGTATGAGAATGTCTGAGTATGAGTAAGTCTGAGTATGAGTAAGTCTGAGTATGAGTAAGTCTGAGTATGAGTAGGTCTGAGTATGAATATGCCTGAGTATGAGTATGTCTGAGTATGAGTAAGTCTGAGTATGAGTATGTCTGAGTAAGAGTAGGTCTGAGTATGAGTAGATCTGAGTATGAGAGTATCTGAGTATGAGTAAGTCTGTGTATGAGTAAGTCTGAGTATGAGCAAGTCTGAGCATGAGTAAGTCCGACAGGAGGGGAGGAGGAAAGAGGAGGAGGAAGGAGGAGAGGGAGTAGGAGGCGTCCAAGTAACAACAAGAACCCCACCTTAGGATATGGGGAACAACAACAACATCGGCACCCGCCTGAGATTCCCTCCGAATATATCCTCTTGCACAGGGTGTCTAGAGCTCCGACCACTTTATTCCGCGCGCCCCCCCCCCCCCCCCACCCGCGCCCCCAGCGCCAGAGTGGGACCCCCCGCGCCGCGGTTCTTCTGCCCCGAACTCCCCCGCCCCAGCGCCCCAGCGGGAGCCCCGCCCACCGCCACCTCGCCCACGAACGTTTTCCTCGTCGCACATCCCCCCCCCCGCCCGCCCCGCGCCCCCAGCGCCAGAGCGGGGCCCCCGCGCCGCTGCTCTCTGCCCCGAGCCCCACCGCGCCCCCAGCGCCCCAGCGGGGGCCCCGCCCACTGCCCCCTCCGCCACGAACGTTTCATTCCGCGTCGCACACACCCCCTTCCCCCCGCGTCCCCAACTCCAGGGTGGGACCCCCGCGCCGTGGCTCTCTGCCCCTCCCCACCCCCCCCTCCCCACCCCCCCCTCCCCCCGCGTCCACAGCGCCCCAGCGGGAGCCCCGCCAACTGCCCCCTCCGCCACGAACGTTTCATTCCGCGTCGCGACGCACGCCACCCCCCCCACCTCCCTCCCCGCGTCCCCAGCGCCCCAGTGGGGCTCTGCCCTGTGGCCCTCCGCCCCGACAGTGTTATTTCCGCGTCGCGACGCACGCCACACCCCACCCCCCCCCCAACCCCCACCCTCCCCCCGTCCCAGCGCCCCAGCTGGACCCCCGCCCCGTGGCCCTGCCCCAAGCCTCGCCCAATGCCCCCCTCCCGCCCCGATCACGTTATTCCGCGTCGCGACGCACGCCACCTGCCCCCCTCCTCTCCGCGCCCCCCACGCCCCAGTGGGACCTCCGCCCTGTGCCCCCTCCGCCCCGAGCACTTTATTCCGCGTCGCGACGCACGCCACCTTCTCCCCCCTCCCCCCCCCCTCTCCCCACCTGGGATTTGGGCCCCGCTGCTGGGCCCCGAGGGGCGATGTCTTGCCCCATTTTCACCCGTCCTCCCCCTCCACCCCCCCCTCCACCCCCTTCCTTTTTGTGCAGGAGCCATGGCACACGTGCTACTTGGTCAGGACCCCAGATCCTGAGACTTAGTCAAATGTTACTCAGGATCGGCGTGCCCGCCTCGGACTTCCTCGCAATTTAGTCAGGACCCCCGCCCCCATCTGAGACTTCCTCACAAGTTACTTTGGAAAGGCGATCCTGCTTGAGACTTCCTCGCAATTCAATCAAGACCCCGCTCCCGCCAGAGAACCCTTCACATGTTATTCAGGAATTGCGCTCTCGCCTGTGTTTTCCATGCAATGTATTAAGAAATCGCGCTTTCGACACTCAGGAAACACGCTGCGCCAAGGACGCAACTACAATTTACTTTGTAACCGCGCTCTCGCCATACTCAGGCATCCCGCTTGAATGCCCCACCCGCCCGACCCGCCCGTCAGGGGATCGCCCGCCCGTCGCGGGCTCCCGCCCGCCTCGTCAGGAACGGCGCTTTCGCCGAGGACTTCCTCGAGCGTTCACGTTATTCCCTTCCTGCTCCTCCTCCTCCTCCTCCCTCTCCCTCCTCCCTCCTCCCTCCTCTTCTCCCTTCTCTCTCCCTCCCCTCTTCCCTCAGCCTTATGCCCCTCTGCCCTATCCCCTCTCCCTCCTCTCCATTATCCCTTCTCCCTCCCCTCTCCTGCCTCCTCCCTCCCTCTTTCTTTACGTCTCTCTCTCTCTCTCTCTCTTTCTCTCTCTCTCTCTCTCTCTCTCTTTCTCTCACTCTCTCTCTCTCTCTCTCTCTCGCTCTCTGTCTCTCTCTTTCTCTCTCTCTCTCTCTCTCTCTCTCTCTCTCTCTCTCTCTCTCTCTAACTCTCTCTCGTTCTTTCGTTTTCTCTCTCTCTCTCTCCCATAAATGTCTCTCTCTCTCTTTCTCTCTCCCTGCATTTCTCTACATCTCGTATATGTTGTTGTTCTCTCTCTCTCTCTCTCTCTCTCTCTCTCTCTCTCTCTCTCTCTCTCTCTCTCTCTCTCTCTCTCTCTCTCTCTATATATATATGCCTCTCATCAACCGCCCCCCTCTTCGCTCCTTCTCTCATGGCGTTTTCCCTCTTCCTTCGTCCCTCCCCCTTCCTTCCTCCCACTCTCCCTCGTTCTCCCCCTCCTCTTTTGGCACGGCCCACACCAATTCCAATGGCGGGCACATGCACGCCCACGAAGGATTGTCCGCCCGTTCAGGTTTGCCCGCCTGTCTAAGCCCGCCGCCCCCCGCAAAGAGAAAGAATCCCCCCAAAGGGGGGTGTGATCGAAGACAAAAGGGCGGGTATCGAGGGTGTGGGGAACTCGTTTTGGATGACACGCGGGCAATTAAGAGCGAACAGTCTTAGAATGATTGTTGTTGTTGGTGGTGTTGTTGTTGAATGTGAATTACTAATCAAGTATTATTGCTGGACTCCCTAAATGACTACCGACCAGACCACCCCAACTCAACCCGAAGACCCGAATTTGACTCGAATTTCGGATTGGGGGGGGTACGGGTTCCATGTGTGTTTGAATGTTTTGCGACCCCCCCCAACTGGAAATGGAGGGCAAATTGAAGCCTTCGGGTTGGGTTGGGGTGGTTTGGTGAGTGGTGACTAAAGGCGCCCTGGCGCTCTCGCCGAGGCGCCGGCTACATTTTCATTGTAAATGAGGCTCACGCTCCAGCGGTTTGGGGGACCGCCAAAACCGGCCCCCCAACAACAACAACGCTCCCGCTCGAGGCTTCCTCCTTTTTTACTCAGGGCCGGTGTTCTTGCTCGCCGCCGAAAGCCGCCGTCCTAACAAAACCAACGCTCCCGCTCGACACTTCCTCCCGTTTTACCTTGGGCTGGCGCGCTAGTCTTTCTCTCATAGACGCCGCCCCCAGCTAAAACAACGCTCCAGCTCGAGGCTTCCTCCCTGTTTTACTCAAGGCGGTGTTCCTCCTCGCCGCCGAAAACCCCCGCCCCGACAAAACCAGCGCTCCCGCCCGAGACTTCCTTCCGTTTTACGCTGGACTGACGCCCAACTCTATTTTGAATTGGCGCCGCTCCCAGCAAGGACAACGCTCCCGCTCGAGATGTCCTCCCTATTTCCTGAAGACGGTGCTGTTCCTCGCCGCCGGCAACACCCGTCCCGACAAAACCACGGCTCCCGCTCGAGACCTCCTCTCTTCTTACTCAAGGCGGTGTTCCTCCTCGCCGCCGAAAACCGCCGCCCCGACAAAACCAGCGCTCCCGCCCGAGACTTCCTTCCGTTTTACGCCGGACTGGCGCCCTACTCTCGTTTGAATTGGCGCCGCTCCCAGCAAGAACAACGCTCCCGCTCGAGATGTCCTCTTTTTCCTCGGGACGGTGCTGTTCCTCGCCGCCGACAACACCCGTCCCGACAAAACCACGGCTCCCGCTCGATGCTTCCTCCCTTCTTACTCAAGGCGGTGTTCCTCCTCACCGCCGAAAGCCGCCGTCCCAACAAAACCAGCGCTCCCGCTCGAGACTTCGTTTTGTTTTACGCTGGGCTGGCGCCCTACTCTCTGCAGCGTCGGCGCCGCTCTCAGCAAAAACAGCAGCCTTGCTCGAGACTTCCTCCCTTTCTATTCAGGGCCGGGTCCTTGCCTCACCGCCGACAGCCCCCATCCCCACCAAGGCAATCCTGTCGTTCGATACTTCCTTGTGCTTTACCCTTCGCTGGGGTTTCACTGGCGGTCTCGCATCGGCGCAGCAAGGCGCGGGCATGTGTTTTCGAAGCGGGATATGTTGAAACTCATCGGAGGGGGTGTTTGCAAGACCTCGATCTGGGAATGGGAATAACGGACCCCGCTATAGAACAAGAGTCCCCCATGATGTGGATGGTTATCATGATGGTCGCATGCTTCGTGTGGAAACATCGCGAGGGTAATATGATTGTTGTTGTTGTTGTTGTTGTGGTTGTTGTTGCTGTTGTTGGGGGGCCGGTTTGGGCGCCCCCCAAACCGCTCGTTCAATGAATATGTAGCCGGCGCCAAGGCGAGAGCGCCAGGGCGCCTGGGGGGTTTAACAATATTAAGTGTTTAGTAATTAACATTCAACAACAGCGACGACGACGACGACGACGACGACGACGACGACGACGACGACGAGGAGGCCCGCCAGCAGCAGAGCCGTCGCGGGCACCACGGCGGAGGGCTGCGTCGACAGCGCCGCGACTGCGGGGCGGTGCACGCGCCCCATGGGGACCCGGGTCCATCCCTCCTCTTGATCTTTCGCCACGCGGCCGGCGGGGCTGTCTCCAGGAGCTGGCGATCGACGATTCGCCCCTCCAAGAGCAGCCCATGAAGACGAAGCCAGGGACTGGGACAAAATCTCAGCGGGACGAATCGGGGATCCCTGAAATCCGGCGGTTCTGGAGCCCCCCTCCCTGGCGCGCTCCTCGCGCCAGGGGCGGCGCTGGAGGCACCGCCAGGTTTGGCGTCCGAGCCGCCAGGGGGGTGTCTAGCGCCGATCTAAGAGACCCGCGCGGACCTCCTAAAGCTAACGTCTATACGGCTAGTTACTGTTCGACTGGGGCATCGTGCGCCACGGCCGCCCCAGAGCGCTCCGCAACGCTCTGAGAGGGTTCGCTCTGGAGCGATGTAGCCCCGGTCCTGGGCCCGCCCGGCCCAGTCTCAAGCAGCAGGCCCGCGAGGAGCTAGGGCCTGGGCTCGGAGAGGAAGTCGATCGGCCTCTTCCTCTGCCCTCGTTGCGGCCCAGGGGCCCCGGGAGGCGGCCGTCCTTGCCTCTTCTTTCCTCGCTTCCCTCTGAGCGGAGGAAGTCTTGCGCATTTCTTGGGCGAATTTGACTCCGCGTAGGACGTCCCTCCGATGGAACCGACAGCAGCCCTCGAAAGTGGCGACAGTCTCGCAGACTGCAGCCCTCCAGGGATGGCGAGGTCTGATTTGAGTCCGCGCAGGACGTCGCTCCGCTGCACCCCCCAGCAGCCCTCGAAAGCGGCGACAGTTTCGCAGATCGCAGCCCCCCAAGGATGGCGAGGTCGAATGTGAGTCCGCGTAGGACGTCATTCCGCTGGACTCCCCCGCAGCCCTCGAAAGTGGCGACAGTCTCGCAGACCGCAGCCCCCTAGGGATGGCGAGGTCTAATCAGAGTCCTCGTGGAACCTCACTCCGCTGGACCCCCCCCCCCAGCAGTCCTCGAAACTGGCGACAGTTTCACAGATCGCAGCCCCCTAGGGACGGCAAGGTCTAATCCCACCAGCCCTCTGGGCGTCGGTGGTTTAGAGAGTTTCCTCTTCCACTCCTCTTTCTTCCCCTTCAGGGAGGGGTTTACCCCTCCCCCTACCCCCTCCCCTGGACCTGGACAAGGGGTTTCGCGAGGTGTCGGAGCGTCCACAACGGCCTCGGCGAGGAAGCCTAAATCACGGCCTCGGCGAGGAAGCCTAAGCCTAAATCGGCGAGGAAGTTTTGGCTCCATTTTGGCCTCCTGGCTGTAATCCGTAACCCCCCCCTCCTGTGATCGATCTCACCCAAGATGGCCCAAAGATCGCCCCCAAGGCTCCCAAGGGTGCCCCAAGAGGGCCCCAAGGGGTGGCCAGGAAGCCCCAAGAGGCCCCCAGGAGGCCCCCAGGATGCCCCCAAGAGGCTCCCAAGAGACCTCCAAGAGACCTCCAAGAGGCCCCAAGAGCCCCCCCAGAGGCACCCAAGACGCTCCAAGAGGCCTCGGCGACAATGCCAAAATCGCTGATCTTACAAAGGTTGTGGCCACATGTTGGCCTCCTGGGGGGGGGGGGGGGGGCACTGCTTCAGATGACTCCAAGAGCACCTGGGAGAGCCAAACATGATCTCCAAGATGGCTCAAGATATCCCAAGATGCCTCAAGATGGCGCCCACGATGCTCCAAGAGGCCCCAAGACCGCTCCAAGACCGCTCCAAGACGGCTCCAAGTGGCCAAAGAGCTCCCCCAGGAGGCCCCGAAGAGGCCCAAATCCTTCCAACACCTAAGGAAAATCCATGTTTCTGGCTTTCTCGCCGAGGCCTCAAGATGGCTCCAAGATGGTCCAAGAGGGCTCCAAGAGCGCTCCCAAGGCTCCCAAGAGCGCTTCAAGAGGGCCCCACGAAGCGTTCAGGAGGCCCCAGGAAGCCCCAACAGGCGTTCAAGAGGCCTCCTAAAGGCTCCCAAGAGACTCCCAAGAGGCCCCACGAAGCTCTCCGAAGCACCCAAGACGCTCTAAGAGGCGTCCGCAACCGCCAAGAGGCCCCCAAGACGCTCCAAGAAGCCTCCACTGGGGGACTCTTCCTCTGCGTGCTGGCCGCTTCCCTGATCGAGGCAATTCCTCTGGGCATCGTTTCTGGATGGGCTGGTGGGGATTCGCGAAGCGTCAACAATTTGAATACGCGTGGGACGTCACTCCGCTGGACCACCCAGCAGCCCTCGAAACTGACGACAGTTTCGCAGATCGCAGCGCCTCAGAAATGGCGAGGTCTAATCTGAATCCACGGCGAGTGCCCACTATGCTGGCCCCCAAGCAGCCCTCGAAAGTGGCAGCAGTTTCACACATCGCAGCGCCCCAGGAGTGGCGAGGTCTAATCTGAATCCGCGGCGAGTGCCCACTATGCTGGCCCCCCCAAGCAGCCCTTGAGGCGACAGTTTCGCAGATCGCAGCGCCCTAGGGGTGGCCAGGTCTATCTGGAATCCGCGGCGAGTACCCACTATGCTGGCCCCCCAAGCAGCCTTTGAGGCGACAGTTTCGCAGATCGCAGCGCCCTAGGGATGGCGAGGTCTATCTGGAATCCGCGTGGGACGTCACTCCGCTGGACCACGCAGCACTCGAAAGAGGCGACAGTTTCGCAGATCGCAGCGCCCCAAGGATGGCGAGGTCTGATCTGGGTCCGCGGCGAGTGCCCACTATGATGCCCCCCCAAGCAGCCCTCGAAAGTAGTGACAATTTCGCGGATCGCAGCCCCCAGGGATGGCGAGGGCAAGCCAGGTAAAAGGCAGGAACAAAGAGAGAGGAGGAATGAAGAAAGAAGCGAAGAGAGGCGGAAAGAGAGGAGGGGGCGGGAGAGGAGGTCGCGACCGCAGTGCTCTATTCAAAACGAGAACCCAACGCAGGAGGGTTGGGAAAAATTACGTACACCCCTCGTAGATCTGCAAACAGTACGAGTATGTTTCTTACATTCGACGCAAAATCCGCCGACCCTGTCGGCGTGTGGAATCGTTTTTTTCGTCGTGGTACGTACTCGTCGTCTTCTTTTCTGGGTCCGTCGCCGCTCCCCCCTCTTTCCGTGGGCCCTCGTCCTCAAGCGCGCCAGCCAAAGCGAAACGAAGGGGGGGAGGGTCCTGGGGGGGGGGTCCCTGGGGGGGTCCCAGGTCAGAATACCATCCTCAGTTTGCGGCTTTTACAGAAGGGCCTTCTGTAGATGCGCTCCAGGAGGGGTGGGTCGCCACGACGGATCCGCAAGAGCGACCCTAGACGGCCCAAGCCCCACAAGACAGCACCCCAGACGGGTCAAAAGAGCCCCAAAAGGACTATCACGAAGGCCTGGAGAGGCCATATTCATTGATTTTCGGACTCCTCCTCCTCCTCCTCCGCCTCCTGCCCCCCCCGCTCGTTTTCGTCTTCGTCGTCTTCAGGGTCGGCGGCACCAGCCGTAAGGCCTTCGCAATCAACTCTGCTGGGGCAGATCAATTCTGCAGCCGATCCCCTACTCGATCGCTGCACCACCGTCGGGGTTGCACACAGGAGACTCTCAGAGGCCAGTTCTCGGGAGGGGTGGGCGGGAGAGGGTGGGGGGGGGGGGCACAGGGCTGCTCCCCGATCCCTCCCTCAGGGTCAGCTCTCCATCCTGGCCGTCTCCTGGATCCCTTCCATCCCGGCCAACCTCCTGGCGTCACCCTTCTTGCCTCCTGCCGCACGGCGTCTGGATCTGCTCCTCGATCTCCGCAGCCCCCCTGGGAGCGGAGGTCCTGGGGGGGCTGATGGAGGCACGCGGAGGCCCAGACAGGGCGGACAATGCGCAAAGACCTCTATCCTTGAACCTCGAACTTCGAGCCTCGAGCCTCGAGCCTCACAACTCCCTTGCCACGGACGACGGCGACGACGACTACCCCACTGGGCGGCGGCGGCGGCGGTGACAACGACGACGAAGACGACGACGACGACGGCGACGACGACGACGACGACGACGACGGCCACAGCGACGGCGGCGGCAGCGCCAGCGGCGGCGCCCACCCCTGGACTGGACGCCGGCCGCGCCTCCCGCCGGCAGCGCCACGGAGCCCGACCTGGCTCTGCGTCGGTCGTTGCTGGTCGGTCGTGGGTCGCGGGTCGTCGATCGCCCGTCGTCCGTTGTCCGTCATCGTCGCCGCCGCCGGCGGTCATCGGTCGTTGGTCGCCCTCGTTGTCGAACGATCGGTCCCCGTCGCCGTCATCGCTGCCGCCGCTGCCGTGAAACATCGTCGTCGTCGCCGCCGCTGCGACCACCGCCGTCGCCGTCCTCGAGGACGGCATCATCGTCCTCCGTCGTCGTCGTCGTGATCGTCACTCGTCGTCATCGTCGTCGTCAGTCGTCGTCGTCAGTCGTCGTCGTCGTCGTCGCCGTCGCCGTCGACGTCATTGTCATCGTCGTCGTCGTCGTCGCCCTACGCCCGCCACCGCCGTCGGCGTTCTCCTCCTCTTGCTCCTCCTCCTCCTCCTCCTACTCTTCTGCTTCTCCTTCTGAGTAGTATCGTTATTGCTCGTCGTGTAATTCGAAACTGCCGTATCATGATGATTAATCATATGATTACGAGTACTATGAACATTACGCTTCGTACCTTTAGTATTACGTCTTCTTCGTCGTATGATCATCACGAACTGGATGTCTTCTTCTTCCTACTGCTACTGCTACTGCTACTGCTACTGCAACTGCTACTGCTACTGCTACTGCTACTACTACTACTACTACTACTACTACTACTACTACTACTACTACTACTACTACTACTACTACTACTACTACTACGACTACGACTACGACTACTACTACTACTACTACTACTACTACTACTACTACTACGATTACTTCTATTACTACGAATACGCGTAACAGCATGATCATGAATAGCATGCGCGTGCTTATCTTTACGATGGTTCTTGTTATTAATATTAGTCAGACCATTATGTTTATGCTTATTATGGGTATTAGTGTTATTAGTATGTTCTACTTCCTCCTCATCATCAGATTGCTCCTCCTCCTCCTCCTCATCATCATCATCATCATCATCATCATCATCATCATCATCATCATCATCACCACCATCATCATCATAATATCAATTTTCGTCATCCTCATCCTCATCCTACTCCTCATTCCTCATGTTCCTCCTCCTTATCCTCCTCCTGGTTCTCCTCCTCGTTCTTCTCCTCCTCCTCATCCTCCTCCTCATCATCATCACCATCATCATCATCACCACCATCATCATCATCAGCATCATAATATCATCATCATCGTCATCATCATCATTATCATCAGCATCATCCTCATCTACATCATCCTCATCATCATCATCATCATCATCATCATCATCATCATCATCATCATCATCATCATCATCATCATCATCATCATCATCATCATCGTCATCGTGATCATCATCATCATCATCATCATCATCATCATCATCATCATCACCATCATCATCAGCATCATTATCATCGTCATCATCATCAGCATCATCCTGCGTCCTCCTCCTAATCTTCCTTTTCCTTCTCCTCCTCGTCCTTTTCCTCCTCCTCCTCCTCCTCCTGCTCCTCCTCCAACTCCTCCTCCTCTTCATTTCGCTGTAGCCATGTTGGCTCAAGGCCAGAATGGTGTCCATTTCACTGCCGAAGTGGGGTAAGCTCCCATTGTTTTCAGCGATCCTCGTTCTAGCAGCCACACTCAGGGGCGAGCTGCCGCCCAACTCCTCGTTCGCAGCCACTACCAAGGGCGAGCTGCCGCCCACCTCCTGCACAACTGACCTGGTCGTGGGTGCGTCCCCCCACATTCGGCGCAATGGCGGGCAGCGGTGGCGCAGAGGGTGACGCACCCGCTAGCCCACAGACGCGTCGTGGACGGCCTGGTGACAAACAGTACATGTACCAACACACCATCTGCAGACAGTGTCGGTACCGCTGGACATGGAAGGGAAAGTCCGAGCGCTTCATGCGCGGTAAGTCCTTCGCGCCGTCCCCAGCCGAGCACCGCCAACCCGGACGAGCGTGGGCTGGAAGCACCAAGAAGCCCAGCAAGCCGCTGGGGCTGGGCCCCCTAGCAAGGACGCCATCTTCGGAGCACTCAAGACCCTCCTTCCTCAACGACGAGAAGGAAGCATGGGGACCTCGTCGGATAGCTCAAGGAGGCCCTCCAGGACCCAGTCAAGCCACAGCCCGCGCGCACAGCGGAGCAAGCACTCCAGTCGGGGCCATCGGTCCTCACCGACAGAGAGAAGAACCTGCAGCAGACCGTCGACGAGGTCGCCGAGGCGCAGCAATGGCTCAACGACGCCAATGCACGTCAAGAGCAATGCACGACGAAGGGGGAGGAAGAGGAGGAGAGGAGGATGAGAGGAACGCGGGGCGACGTCTCTTCAAAACGAGGACCCAACACCACAGAATGTTTGGGAACCATCAGAGATGAAACATAAATTCGGGTCAGAGTTGCATCCGAGTTGAATCAGAGTATGATAAAACTTTTAGAGTTTAGCTTTTGAGGCTACTTTGCCTCCAAAATACACACTCAAATCTAAATGGTGCAACGTATGCAGTGCAATCGACGGGGAGGCTACGGGGCGGCTACGGCGACGACATGCCGCCAGACCGACCCGCGGACCCAGACGACGGGCGGCGACGAGGCGGCGACGAGGCGGCGGCGGCAACATAGCCGCCGGACCGACCGCCAGGACCAGATCTTTAGATAAACAAGTGAGAACCTCCAAGTGCAAGCACCGTCTGGGGAAAACGTACATGAATTGCTGTCGGCTTTCGTCCCCATTTCGATCGTACCGAAAAAGGTGGGGGACGCACGGACCCGGGTCAATTCAAACCCGGGTCAGTCGGGCTTTGCAAGACCCTGCAAAATCCTGCAGGGCTCCTGCGCGCAAGCCCGGGTCACTGCAGCCGCAGCCCTGGCTTTGCAGGATCCTGCAAGTTCTGGCGCTCTGGCTGACCCCCGAAAGAAGAGGGACCCGGCCACGTTCTTCAGCATGTTCATCCCGGTCTGCAGCGGGCTGCTGCCGCCGCTGCTGCCCGCGGAGCCATCGGCGACCACGGCCACGGGCGACGATGGCCCACCGACGCCTGGCAGGCGCTGTAGCGCTCGCCGTCGTCGTCGCCGTCGTCGTCGGAAGCCCGTCGCCCGGCCTCCGTCGTCCGTCGTTCGTCGTGCTTTTCATCAGTCGTCGTCGTCGGTCGCCGTCGATCGCCGTCGGTCGTCCGTCGTCACTCGGCGGTCGATGATCGTCTTTTGTCGGTCGTCGGTCGTCCGTCGTCGGTCGTCCGTCGCAGGTCGTCCGTCGTCGGTCGCTGGTCGTCGATCGTTGGTCGTCCGTCGTCGTCGTCGTCGTTGGTCGTCGGCCGTCGGCCGTCGGTCGTGGTCGTCGTCTTCGTCGTCGTCGGTCGCCAAACCGTCGGTGTCGTCGGTGGCCAGTCGCCCGTCGCTGGTCGCCGCTCTCCGTTCGTTTGTCTTGTGTCGTCGCCGCCGCGTCCGTCCTCCGTCGTCGAGGGAACGACTGAGCGACAGAGGAGCGAGCAGGGAGGAGTGAAGGAAGAGATGAATGGAGAGACGCGATACCCCACCTCACCACTTAGGCCCCGCCTGGGGTGGGCGGGGAAGCTTGCAGAGCCAACACGCTACAGCGGTGCATTGTTGTTTCGCGACCACACCAGTTGATTGATCGCGTCTGCGACGTCAGGACGAGACCATGTTTCAAAGGCACACCACCCCACTGAACGGGCGGTTCTTCCCGCACGAAGCATGCGTGAGTTTTGGAAGCAAGTAATCACGACAGCCCGATGCATCCACTCTGTTTTACTTAATCGCTTCGCTCATTCCGCCGGCCCAGTTTCGCGCACCAGGAGGCTGTGCACAGGAAGCTCTTGGGAGTTCTCCGAGGCTTGCGGGGACGTCTCAATCTGGAGCTTTGTTGGGGCTCTTGGAGGCCTCCTGGCGGCCTCCTGACCGCCTGTTGGGGGCCTCTTAGGGTCTCTCAGGGACCTCTGGGGACCTCCTGGGGGCTGCTTCTGGCCGAGGGCTCGAAATGGTGTTTCGTGTTCCCCCTCTGGGGCCTCTCTTGGGGCGTTCTTGGGGCATTCTTGGGCCGTCTTGGAGTCGTCTTGGGTGGTCCTGGAGCCCTCTTGGGCCGTCTTCGGGCTCTCTTGGGGCCCTCTTGGACCCTCTTGGGGTGATCTTGGGGACCTCTTGGGACGCCGTGGGGCGTCGGGAAGCCGAACAGGGGGAAACGCCCAAATCTGTCCGAAACCTTTTGGGAAATCACTGACTTTTACCTTCGGGGGCCCTCTTGGGAGTGCTCCTAGAAGCCTCTTGGGGTCTGGGGGCAGTATCGGGCATCTTGGAGCGATCTTGTGGCATCTCGGAGCCCTCTTCTTCTATCTTGGGAGCCTCTCGGGGGCCTTCTTGGGGCTCTCTGGAGGGCCTCGAGGGCGGCGCCCACCCGAGCCGATCTGGCCCAGGATCTCTGACCCGACCCGGCCGGGGACCGCCTGAGATACTTTTCGTCCGGGGACCCCCAGGGGCCGCTCCGCACGCGAAGCAGAAATACTGTACGCACGCAGTTACCAAAGATTTTAGCACGCCTCTGGCCCGTTGGGCCGTCGAATTTCAGAGTCAGCTGGCTGGCGTGTCCCAGTAGAGCCAACGTTGATCTGGCGAACCGCGCGGGATTCTGCGTGGCGCCACTCTGGGGAACAAAAATCCTAACCACCAGAAGGCGGCCCCCCCTCGCGGGCGAAATTGCAGAAGCGCCCCTCGCATTTCAAATTCCATCGTGGGGATTGTACACATTCCGCTTGGCATCCACCGGTTTCCTCGGCGGCTTCCTCGAGATCGAACGCCTGGGTGTTTCGTATTCGGTCGAACTGTCAACAAAATGAAATGACGGGACGGCACGCGGATTCCAGCTCACTTGCGGTACTAGAAACCCTTTTGAACCATGAGCACGGGCAGACAAGTGCCCACATGTCCGCCCCTTCTCGGGCTCAAAACTTGCGCGTGACTTTCTCTCGCAATTCAAAGTGGCAAGATTCACCGGCACTGACAAGGCACGAAGGCGAGATGCTTGCGAGCACCATCGAACGGCAGTACATGCCAACAGAAAACGCAAGCGCCATTTGGGCCCTGGAAAAGATGCCAGCCAGGATCAGCTTATTAGCGGGCAGACGCAGCGCGGTTGGGTCGCGCGGCTCTTAATTATTTCGTGGAAGATATGGAGAGAGGGAGGAGGGATGGGGGAAGGAGAAAGGTGAACAGCTCAAACAAGAAGGACAGGAGTCGTAGTCGGAGTCGGAGTCGGAAGCCATACAAAAGTGAGTCATTTCCTCGTGGCGGTATAGGACTCGGCTCGTTTTGACATCGGGTTGATGGTTGCTGGCATGACTGTCAGCATTACAGGGGACAGCCTCCGGGGCCCCTGGTTCGTTGACCCTCGGGGTCCGCGATAGCTCGATGCCGAGCCCCTGAAGCAAACACAAAAACGTCATGGATTGAAAGACTTATGGCACTGTGGACCACCATCCCCGACTCGGGAAAACTATACTTTACGGAAGCTATCGGAAGCTGAACTGGCGCAAGAAACGCCCACTTCCTCGGGCAGACTGCCGCGCTGCCCCCCGCCCCCCCCCCCGCCCCCCACCCCCGAATAAGAAATAAAAAACTCAACTGTAAAACCCGAGCCCGGCAAGTAACTCCCGGGCTCGGCCGCTACCTTGCTGCGCTGAGGCCCCCAGCCCGTTCGCGTCGACACATGTCGACCTCCTATCCTGCTGCAGCCTGCCGCGCCCGGAGCCCCGCTCGCAGCGGCCTCTCAAGCGCGGACGGGGGCGGGGCTCCGAAGATCTGCTCCGCCGTGGCGCGCGCAGCACCGCCATGCGGGTCGCCTCGCGGAGGTCGTGGACGCGGCAAACGGCCCCTCTTAGTTGCCATCCTGGATCACGTTGACCTGCCCGCCCCAGCACTCCATCCACGGCGCGAGGCGCAAACTGTTGAACGCCGCATGAATATTACACTTGTTCAGCTTCCTGGCTTCGCCGCAGCCCTCATTCACCCTGAGTCGCATCAGGCCGCCTTCGAACTCGTTCGCGAAGAGCACCTCGATCAGCGCGTTGAACTCCACGGGCGCGCGCTCGCCCCCCCTCGATCTGCGCGATCTTCGCCTGGTCGGCGACGCGCATCCACTCCCAGGCGCAGGCGCGGGTGAGCCATCTGATTGCTGCCGACGGCCTCGGCATTCCCTGCGCAGCTACTCCGGCTGCCACCGACGCGCTGACGGGTCCGACACCCCCTCGACCAGGTAGAAGCCCCACGGGCTGTCCGACGCGAAGCGCATCATCTGGGCCGACGTCAAGGTGAGCACTTGCACGAACGCAGCCCCCTCTGCCGTCGCCCCTTCGCGCGGGCTGCCCCGCGAGCTCCTGTCCTCGAACGCCCGCGCGGCTGCTTTTGCGCCAGCGCCACCGCTTCCCAGCTCCCCCCCAGAATCTCGCCCCTCCAACGGCCGACTCCTGCGCCCCCGGCCGTCGTCCTCCAAGACAGCGCCCGGCCTGGGAACGCCCGTAGTCACGCGCGACAAATGTTCGGCACGGTCGGAGTCCTCGCGACCGCGCAGGGCAGAATAATAGAAGCGTTTCCCCCTGGTTTGAAACCGAGGGAAATGGCTCTGGCGGGGCGGCGCGAGAGTCGTGGCGGAGCGCGGCGGCCACGCGCCACAAACGCGGCGTTCGGCTCGCAAACAGCGTTCTGCACCTAGGTAACACGACACTACGCGCTAGCATGGGGTCTAATGGCATCACGCGCGACGCGGGTGATTTTACCGTCGAAAACGACATGCCCCATCCGAGCCAGCCTCCGCCCCCCCCATCTCGCGGGCGCAGACGAACTCATCGATTATGTCGCCGTGCTCGTCGTTGCCCCCGTCCCGCCGGTGCTCTGCGACGTTCATCTGCCCCCCCTCCATAGATGCAAAATCCAACGTTTTCAGTGATTTAGCCGCCCCCCTGGCCTCCCCGGCGCGCGGCCAGCGCGGACCTGGAAAAAACCTCGCGATGAGCAGCGGGTCTTGAAAAACTCGTTGCGCGCGTCGGTCACTCCGGGCCCTGTCGAGCTCGGGGTCGGCGTTAATTAAACCGTCTAGACCCTCGCGACACTGAGCGGTCATGGGGCGCTGCCTCACAATCCGCCCGCCCGCCGACGCTCTAGAGACTGCGCGCGACCTGCCCAGCTCAACTGTCCGACATTGCCGCCAACACCTACAGTCTGCCGCCATCACCTGACGCGCTGCATTCGGGGCCCAGCCGCCGCGCAACAAATGCTCCAAACCTTCCAGACACCAGCGTTGCTCGAGGTCTCCATCCATCCTTCGACCCCCGCTTCTCCTCTCCATGCATCAAGCATCTCAACCTTCGCGCCCGGCTGCCGACAACACCAACGCGGCGAGACCAGCGATAGCCGAGCAGTGGATGAGGCAGGGAAAATATTGCGAAACAAGCACTGGCGGAGAGGCCGACGCCAAGCGCCTCCCAAAGCGTCCCCCAGACTAGTCGAGCTCCTTTGGTGCGACTCCTCAACTTCAGTCTCAACGCCCCGCGGGAGCTCGCGATGGGCCGCAGTATTCTCACTTCTCGACGCGCCTCTCCTTGAGCTCGTTCGTCGCGATAGCCCGCGTGCTGCTTCAAAGGAGCCCTTCCGAAGAAACTGTTGAGGCGGTTGGTCTTGCCTGCGTTCAAGAAGCGCCCGTTCGTTCGAATGCTGCCCTGGAGCCCCTGTGATTCAGCTGCGTTGTACTGTAACGTGTCTGTCGCGCGCATGAGCGAATATGTAATATCCACGCGCCGTCAACGAAAAATCTGAATCCCATATGCACCTCGATGTTCGTTACTGGGCACTTACACCCGATCGTGGCTGCCGTCCGTCTCGGACAGCCCGGCGTTCCACTGTCTCGCAATGAATGAATAGATCCGCTGGCCCCCTCTGCGGGGCCACCAGGCTGCAGGGCCAAGGTTTGCTGCTCCTGCGCCAGTTCCAGCTTCCAGTTTCCACTGTTGAAACTTTGCTTGTCGTTTATTACTGTTCCTTGGTGTAGACCGCGCGAGGAAAGGGGGGGGGGAGGGGGCGCAAACCGCCATGCGCACCACGCCCAGGTCGCGCGCTCAGAATTTCTGGGGGGATCGAGATTGACACCCTCACGCACATCGGCGGGGTCAAGGTCCAAAAACACAAGGGATTGGCCACATCTCTAAAATCCAGCGGCACCCCGCACGCAAATCGGCGGGGACAAGGTCCAAAAACACAACGGATTTGCTACATGTTCGAATTCTGCGCACTCCTGACAAAAACTTTACAAACAGCTGCGCAAGCGCAGATGCACGGTCGTCGCGCCGCAATCCCAGCCAGCGGCGCTCTTATTCCGACCGCAGGGCGGGCCGACAAAGAAACGCGGGCCTGGGGCGGAACGGGAACGGGCCGGAAAGCGAGGAGCCGAAGGGCGAGAAAGGGAGGAGGCGGGGGGGGGGACGACGACAGGAAAGGACAGACCGGGCCGACGGACAGAGGGGCGGGAGACGGAGAGAAACAGCCAAGCAGGGAGAGGGAGAGAGAGAGAGAGAGAGAGAGAGAGAGGACACAACACACAAGGGGGAGGACGCGCGAGGGCGAGAGGGTGAGGACACGGAGAGAGGGAGGGGAGAGGGGGGGAAGCACGGAGCCAGAGACAGGGCATGCAGGAAGGACACACCAGGACAGCGGGGGCGCGGGCCCAGCTCGGCGGGCAACAGGGGAGACGGAATCGGCCCATCTCGTTCTACAGCGCACGCGGCTGTGAGACTGGAAAAGGAGGAGGAGGCGGAGGCGGAAAAGAAACATGGGCATTCACTGCAGAGCGGCGGCACGTGGCCGGGCGACCAACCTACCTCCAGGCCCGGGCGGGATCGCGGAGGCGTCGCAAAATGGCCCGCGCGTTTTCCCTGCGAAGGGAACGTGACAATCGCTGGGCTATTCGCAAGCTTTCCCCCTCCACCTCCCCGCGCCAGCAGGCGCTCACGTGCTTGGCAATCGTGTCCAAGGTCTGGCGGCGGTCTCTCCAGGCGCCTTAAAGACCTCTTGAAGTCCTCGTATGCGCTCAGGACAGACTCTGGGTTCGTCGCAGCGTCTCGTAGCACATCTGCGCGCAGACCCGACGTGCAAGCGAAGTCCAGGGCAGCAGGTGTCCCGCCCAGAGCTCGAAGGAAGAAGGCACCGGCAGGGCGTCTCCGGGACCTTGCGACGCCCGGGGCGTCCCCGCCGCCACTGCTGGGAGGCGTGCCGTCGTCCCGCGGGCGCTCTGGGAGCAGACCGGGTTTTTCCCTCTCTGGGCCCATGTGACCCCTCAATGCGTCTTCGAACACCGAGTCCCGCAAGCGATTGTGGCGGACCGTGCGGTCACCGCTGCATGGGCACACGAGGGTATGGTCGCCGAAGCTGTCCATGGTACCGCCGCACATGGGGCAGAACATGTCGGCATCCTGCACACGGATCCGCAGTCTGCGCCCCAGAGCCATTTTGAACAGAGCGGGCTCTATGGATCGCGCGGCGTCCGCTGGCGGCACGGTCAGCCACGCCCAGCCCCGCATAGCTGCTGGAGGGACAGGTGGGCCGCGTAAGAAACGTCGGCGGAGCTGTCGCGCCCCAGGCCCTGCTCCCGCATAGCATCCACCAGGGCCGACATCGCCTTTTGACTTTGCACACGAGGGGCAGATCGGCTGGGTCAGGGTCCAAAACACACAAAGGATTTGCCGCATGTTTGAAATTCGGTTGCACCCCTCGCGCAGATCGGCAGGGTCACGGTCAAAAAACACAAGGAATTTGCCACATTTCTGTAATTCGGTGGCCTTCACGCAGATCGGCGGGGTCACGCCGGAAAAATACATGGGATTTGCCACATTGCTGACATCCGGTGGCACCCCTCACGCAGATCGGCAGGGTCACAGTCAAAAAACATAGGGGAATTGCCACATTCCCGAAATTCGGTGGCACCCCTGACGCAGATCGGCGGGGTCAGGGTACAAAAACACAAGGGATTTGCCACATTTCTGAAATTCTGTGGCACCCCTCCTGCAGATCGGCGGGTCAGGGTCGAAAAACATATGGGATCTGTCACATGTCTTGGAATTCGGTGGCCCCCGTCACGCAGATCAGCGGGGTCAGGGTCAAAAAAACACATGAGATTTGCAACATTTCAATACTTCGCAGGAAAGTTTCTTGCACAGCATACGCGAGCAAGCTCGAAATACAACACCGAATTCAACAATATCACCAGAATCTCAATTTGTCTTGCCGACTTCTCACCGTCTTCGCGTGAAGTCCCGACGCTGCTTCACGGCGGCACCAAGGCATCATGCGTTCCCTCTTGCATTGCCCATGATCCGAGAGAGGGGGCCGGCGGCAGGGGGCGAAACCCTTACGGATATCAACGAAGTCGCCCGCCGCGAGCGAACGGCCCATGGTCGTGCAACTCTGTGGGTGGAAACCGGCAGCTCAGACCTGGTGCATCCACGTGAACGGCAGCTTGCTGAAATGCTTGATCTACTGACTGGACGTTCTGTGTTCTGCTCGTGCGATAATGATGTCCTGTGATGCTGCTGCGCTATGCTGCGTGCCGCCGTCGATGCTTCTTGTGTGGCTGAGCTTTGCTTGTCTGCATCTCCAGCTGGCTGCTGTTTTTCTTAGCGTAGCGAAACAAACTGTATGTACACCGACGCTCTTTCCGGCCCTGCACTGACACTTGCACAGGAACCGAATCCTGGTGTATACGGGATCCTGGTGCATACATGTTCCGTTGTTTCCCCAGGAAAACGCGGGAAAAAGTATACACCACACCGCCTCGACGTCGTCCCCCACCCTCAAAAAGTCCTGGGATTGAAAACCAGCCCGCCACTGGTAATGTATATGCCCCAGTTTCCGACAATATGCACCTGCCACGATCGTTTAACATGCATGTCCAGTGCGGGAGTCTTTTCGTGAAGCTCCTTAGCGGCCAGCCCCCGTGGATGAATAATGCTGCAAATGCTCGTGCTGCCTGTCGAAGACTGCTCCATACCAGCCCGCCCATAGAGCCAAAAGTGTGATGGTGGGGCGGCTGCTCTCATCATAATTCCCCTCAATCTCTTTCGGGTGTTGCTAGAAGTGCCCCTGGCCCAAGGTGTCCCTAGCTTTCCGCTTCATTTTGGAGTCCCTGGGGCCCCCTGGGCCTCGTGAGGGGTGCTCTGGAGGCCGTCCAGGCCCCCCCGAGAATCCTGGAGGCACCTTGGGCCAGGGGCACTTCTAGCAACACCCGACTCTTGCCGGACATATTATGGCGAATCCAAATGAATCGTTCGTGCTGCGCGACCGTGCCCACCCAAATTGAACACACTGATGATGAGGAAATTAACATTCTGTCAGGCCGCTGTCCCTGCCAGCACGCTTTGTTCCAATCGCAAGGGAAATATCCACGCCCTCTGTCTGTAGCGAAATATGTCCAAACTCGAAAACCTGACCCATTGTATACCCTTCATTCAACGGATCATGTGGGGAGAATGCGTGTGTGTATATGTCTAGATGGCCGCGCATTCCGCTCGAGTGGCATCGCTCCCGCTGCTCTGCCCTAGGACGCCTGCACACAGAGATGCGATGTCTGCATACAGCGTGAGGGGGAGCTCGCGGGCGTTTGTGCCTGGGCGGCTCCTGGGGGAGAGGAGGGTAAGGGGAGGAAAAGGGGTGGAGGACGGGGAGCAGGGGGGAGGAACAGTCGGAGGAGAATTAGGAAGGGAGGATGACGGTCCAGGACGACGGCGACGCGGATATGTGCTTCTCTTTTTGGGTGGCCACGCGGTGGCTGCGAAAATCAAGGAACAAGATTGCTGCGAACAAGGATCACAGGGGCTGCGCCCGAGGAAAGCCCCGGGGGGCGGGAAAAGGCTGAGGGTCAGGGGACGTCAACTATCCACCTCACCGATCCTTGACAGGCCCTTCCTGGGCCCGGTGGGCCTGGCCAGCATCTCTGAGGCGGATATCCGCCACCGTGCCGTCCTCGGGTCCCCTCCAGCACTCTGCGTTGAATATTGCTGACATGTTCTCTGAACGGGGCACGGAGAGCCCAGAGTTCTGGGCGCTCGAGGGCGCTTCCGGGGACCGTCGCGTGGCCTTTCGGAAGGGCTCGGGAGCGTGGTTCGGAACCTGCGCTTCCAGCATGCCCCAAAATGATCACATGGCCCTCAGGGACCGTCCTGGAGCTCTGCTGGGGGCTGGGGCCTCTCAGGCCGTCTTGGAGGCCCTGCTGGTGAGATCGGCCCAGGAGCCCCAAAATAAGACAGATGTGTTGTTTCGTACGACTTTCGCATACGTGTTCACCTTCTCCATACTACGAGCGTCCAAGACGTCCCAAGAGACGCTCAAGGCCTGCGCAAGAGAGGACCCCAAGAGGCCCCTTAGAGGGGCCCAAGAGGGGGACATCGAAGCGAGCCCTCCAGCCCAAGAGGGGCCCACAAGAGGCCTCCCAGGAGGCCTCCCAGGAGGCCTCCAGTCAACAACGACCCAGGCGCGGCGGCGGGGCGGGCCGAAAACGACACTGCATGGCCGACGTCCCCCGAGAGAAGGGGGGGCGCAGGGGCCCCGAAGACGGAAGGCGCGCGGGGCGCGCGCCCAGAAGGGCCCGAGGCGCCCTGTGCCTCGAAGGGCGCTCGAGTCGCCTCGAGGCGCCCTGTGCCTCGAAGGGCCTCGGAGGCGCCTCGAGGCGCCCCCTGCCGCCCGGCAGCCTCAGAGGCCGAACTGCTGGATGCCGTCCTGAGCTGGGGCGGGCGCAGCCACCCGTTGGGGGGGACGTAAGAGAGCAGTCTTTCATTCACGGCGAGAACCTAGGAGATCCGACGCTCCAACAAAAAAATGGGAGCGGGCGGTTTTGAAGCTGATTTCGGCCTCAAGGGGCCCTCTCTGGGCCTTGGGACCGACATAAGACGACTCAGGGCGAAAAACCGGCCTTAGGGAAGTGGTCCAGACCTCCAGGGACCACGCATCGAAAAAAAATAGAGTAGCTGGGTGTCTGGAAACGGGCGTTATGAGGGGAGATGAGGGACGGGGGCGGGGAGGGGGCATCACGCAAAGCCCCCGCCCTCCACCGTAACAGACTGTGGCGCCGGATGCACTGCGGCAGTGCCCGGGACGCACTCTGGGGGGGGGACCGTTGAGATTTGCGGGGGGAGAAGGGGGGGCAGGAGGGAGGGCATAACGCACGCCATGACCAAGAAGTTGTTGGGCGCTCTCTAAAGGTTCGGGTAGGAGATCGACTGCCGAATTGGATGTACCACAGAACTGTTTTCGTCGAATCTACGAGCAAGACATGTAGAATGCTCATAGATATACGAACATAATGCGTGTTCTTGTTCGTAGATTCG